AAAATCTAACTCTTTATTGAAACTTCCCCTCGCTTGCCTTCCACGATGCCATCATCTAAAATCTAACTCGTTATTTAAACTTCCCCCCCTTGCCTTCCACAATGCCATCATCTAAAATCTAACGCTTTCTTGAAACTTTCCCCCACCTTGCCTTCCACACTGCCATAATCTAAAATCTAACTCTTTATTGAAACTTCCCCTCGCTTGCCTTCCACGATGCCATCATCTAAAATCTAACTCGTTATTTAAACTTCCCCCCCTTGCCTTCCACAATGCCATCATCTAAAATCTAACGCTTTATTTAAACTTTTCCCCCTTTTGCCTTCCACAATGCCATCATCTAAAATCTGACTCGTTATTTAAACTTCCCCCTCCCTTGCCTTCCACAATGCCATCATCTAAAATCTAAATCTTTATTTAAACTTCCCCCCCCTTGCCTTCCACACTGCCATGATCTAAAATCTAACTCTTTATTTGAACTTCCCCCCCCTTTGCCTTCCACAATGCCATGATCTAAAAATCTAACTCTTCATTTAAACTTCCCCCCCCTTGCCTTCCACACTGCCATGATCTAAAATCTAACTCTTTATTTTAACTTCCCCCCCCTTGCCTTCCACAATGCCATCATCTAAAATCTAACTCTTTATTTAAACTTCCCCCCCCTTGCCTTCCACAATGCCATCATCTAAAATCTAACTCGTTATTTAAACTTTACCCCCCCTTGCCTTCCACAATGCCATCATCTAGTTGTTGTTGTCGTTGTCGTTGTCGTTGTCGTTGTTGTTGTTGCTGCTGCTGCTGTTGTTGTTGTTGTTGCTGTTGCTGTTGTTGGTGTTGTTGCTGTTGTTGCTGTTGTTGCTGTTGTTGCTGTTGTTGTTGTTGTTGTTGTTCATGTTGGCGTTGATGTTGATGTGAAAGTTGATGATGTTGTTGTGGTTGTTAATGTTTTTGTGTTGTCGATGTTGAGACTGCTGTTGATTTTGTTCTTGTTGTTTGTTGTGCATGTTGTCGATGTAAGTAAAGAGGCGTCGGGAGCGAGTATGTTTCCGGCGTTGAAAGCGAGTTGATTTTCGGCGTCGGGAGCGAGGGTCCCACCTATTAGAAGCCGCAGTTTTGGAAGCCACTTAAGCCACGATCGCAGGGCTCCTTGGGGGACGCAGCTTTAGAAGCCGCACTTAGAAGCAACAATTAGAAATTGGTAGCCACACTCCGGAGGCATATTAGACGCCGCAGACGCCGCAGATTTAGAAGCCGCTTAGAAGCCACAGTCGGAGGGCACATCGGGAGCCGCAGCTTTCACTTAGAAGCCACGCTTAGAAGCCACCTTAGAAGCCACAGATTTAGAAGCCACTTCGACGCCACAATTCGAAGCCACTAGAAGCCACTGTAGAAGGCCATATTGAAGGCCGCAAACTTAGAACCTACATGGAAACCACAATTAGAAGCTACCTTGGAAGCCGCCACTATAAGAAGCCACCCTCCAGAGCCGCAGATTTAGAAGCCACTTAGAAGCCATGATCTGAGGGCTCAGTATAGAAGCCGCAGCTTTAGAAGCCGCACTTAGAAGCCACATTTAGAAGACACTTAGAAGCCACACTCCGAAGCCATATTGGAAGCCGCAGATTTAGAAGCCACTTAGAAGCCACACTCCGAAGCCACATTGGAAGCCGCAGGTTTAGAAGACACTTCGACAGCGCTGTTAGAGATCACTATAGCAGGCCAGGTTAGTAGCCGCGTATTGAGCAACCACTAATAGAAGCCACATTGCAAGCCGCATATTTATAGAAGCCATTTACCCGTTACAATGAGAAGAAGACACTTAGAAGCCACGCATGGAAGCCACAGAGTGAGTGAACTTTCGCACCCTCGCACCTGGAAGGCAACAATCCTAGGTACATAGAAGCCACATACATAGAAGCCATTAGGAACTACATCCGAGGCACAAGCGAGGAAAAACCCGAGGCACAAGCGATGTGCCGACCTTTTCAAGACATCCTGATTCCGGTTTGGGCGGGTCACGGACATGCAAACCGAATTCAGGTTTTGACCAGATGCAAAGCCTTCGAATTGCATCAGTCGGGACATCAAATACGAAAACATGCGGCAAGCTCTGGGCACTTCTCAGATAGAGATTGGGTCACTGCCTGAACGACTTGCTGGTCGTGTAGTCTCATGATCCGGCCTGCAACTCCTACCTGAGTCTTGTCGTTGAATGACAGCTCCTTTCTTTTCAATACCAAAGCATTACAAAGGCTGTGGAAAAGCGTAGTCAAGGAGAGAGTCTCAAGCGAAGACAATGTGGCGACTGAGACAAGTGCCGACACGAGAATCTGACCTTTCACTTCGTGAAGCCGACCCTGAAGATAGGTCTCAACAGAATTCAGCAAAGCTCGAAGTGGCTGCGCGATACATCTTTGAGAGTGTTTTTTTTCTTCAGGTCATGTGTAGCATCTTCAGCAGAAGCAAGGTGCTTGACAAGCTGAGCGCAGGCCCACAATAGATTGGTGACCTCAAACTCTTTGCACGTGCCCAGCCCAAGTCCAACCACCTGAATGAGGGTTGCAAACAAGTCTGGTCGAAACACCTGGCGCACAGGGCAACGGCTGCTAAGCTGGCACAGGTTACAAAATTGGGTGGTTCACTGTGGGAGGCCCAGGGCCAGACATTTTAATTGGGGATGAGGGGCAATCCCGCCCAAAAAAATTACTCAGCACCTGCAATTTTGCACAGGACCAGGCAATGATTGTGGCACACCTTGCTGGCATTGCACCGTCATGATTTTCCAACTCTTGCCAAGTTCGTTTCTCAATGGCATTTAGCAGGGCACCGAGGGTACTCCATCCCTTTTGACCTTGAGGATCTCCAAGTCGAGCAATGCGATGCATAGCCGTCGACAAATTGACTGCATTCATTCGGTGGATCTGAGTCCGAACCAAAGTGAAGATATCAGGTTTACTGCAATGGTTTGCCTCCATCAATTGCTTGTTGACTTGCATCTGCATAGCAAGGACTGCTTTGGAAATGCAGTTTTTGCGAGGGTCAGAGCGCACATCTTGAAGCGCCTTGCCAGGTTTCCTTCCACTTTCAAGCGGTGCTGTTTGACACTTTTCTTCCACACCTTTCTGACTTTCACCCTTGACTGCTATTGGAACATCGCTGTCAGTTGACACGGTACTGGCAACCTCCGGCAGGAACTCGGAACTGTCTGTCCTTTCCACAGCCTCACTTTTCGGCGTCACACCGAAGAGGAGGCAAGGACAAGACAATGTTTTGCGGAAACATTGCCCATTGGAAACATCCACTGGCCTGAATTCGAGGAACGTGTTCTTCAACCTGATGTCATATATTGGCCGCATGAACGTAGGTCACGGGCCCCACATTTTAGTGTAATCGTTTTGCTGCCCCCTTTGAGCCAAAATTCTGGGAAACCAATTTCTGTTTCATGTGTGGCTGCATATTTTGCGAACAAACAAATGACAAAAAAAACAGAAAACTTCAGCAAGCGGTGGTATCAAGTGGAAACACTCCGCACTAGAAATCGATTTTGCATTTTTGGATGCAAATATTGAGCCTCATAAAATACAAATCAGGCTGCAAGTTGGCATGGTTTGGAGAACATTCATGACACAGTGGTTACCAACACGCATGAAATGAATTTGCGGTTCAGCCGATCGAACCATAACTCCAATGCAGGTACATCTGGTCTGGTCAAAAGACTATAAGTTTCAGAAAAGTTCGGTGGCATGCAACATGGCATGGCCACCTGCGCAAAGACAACACGCCATTGAACAAATGGCTCAAGGTGCAAGCTCTTGGAAAAATAGAGCACACCAGCAGCTGCGAAGCTGACCTGTGAAACCACGGGTTATGAGCCCAAAGTGACTCGACCTGGCATGGACTTGAGCCAACGGAGAGAATCTTCCTTGCAGCGGCGTGCAGCCCAAGCGCTATGGGCCTCTGGGGCAAATGCTTTGTCTACTGTGCCTGGGAACATTGGGATGGTGTCTGGTGTTTCTGGGGGTGACTTGTTAGCTGGTTTGCAGCCCATAGGTCCTCCGATGTCCTTTTCTCTGGGTGATTTTCTTGAGCCGGTTCGGGGTGAAACCAAGGGTGAAAAGAACCTCGAGGTCAAAGGGAATGAAAATCCCGAAGTGAAACGTGTTGTTGTGGCTGACCCTAAGGAGTCTGAATCCTAAAGAAGTGATGGTGCTGTTGGGCACGCCTCAAGTTCCCCCCAAGGTGGTAACGGTAAAGGTCATGGAAACCAAGTTGCCACGGGAAAGGGAAATGGTGGAACCCAAAATGTGCCTAGGGGTTCGGGGAATCCACGGTCTGCTGATGTTGGACCTGTTCGAAAAAATCCAAAGGGTGTGTCCAATATGAATGTTGGGAGGAATGAAATCCCTGAAAATGTGGGACACTATGGTTATGAAAAACATCTTGTTCATGGCCAAGGGGTAGAGGGATCAATGCCTAGTGGTTTGCCAAAACCAAGTGAATCCGTTTTGGAGTGCTGAATGCAAACAAAAAGCTCTCCGAGAAGCTTATGGGCCTGGCTGTGAAAATCAGGACCTATTGCAACTTGGTTTCAGTGCTGGGGTTCAGGATGCTTCGCAGCTTGGATTCAGCGCTGGGATTCAGGAGCCACTGCAGTCAGGGTCAAACACCACCACACCACAAAAAGGGTATGTTGAAATGGATCCGGTTGAACTCTGTAGGCTGAGATGTTTGCGTGAAGCTGAAGAAAAGTTTCGGCAAGGTGTGTTGTCAATGAAATCAGAACCCAAAAGGCATTTAGGCCAACAGTTTGGTCTTGATGTGTTTGGGGTTGATGGTGGAAAAGGGAATGGCATGAAAAATAAACCGTCTTCGCAAGGGTCACAAAGCTCCTTTGTTTCGGTGCCAGGGCCTGTGGTTGAACTGTTTGTCCCTAGGCCTCCACCTGGTCCACCGCCACTTTCACCTCCAAGAATGTCTTTTGTGGGATGTGGAAATGTTGTAGGGAACATTTGCCCTCCACCTCCTGTGTTGCCACCATTTCCGCCTTCGATACCGGCCTTGGCCCAAACTCAGGCGTTTGTGGCTTGTGGTGAAAATCCATCTGAAACTCTCAGGACTGTTGATTTGCCGAGGTTGTCAGCTGATGCAACTGCGGTTCAATATGGTGATTGGCTCAGCGTGGTTGGCACGATGATGGGCAACTTGTCGTACACCAGTGAAACTTGGTGGAAAATCGTCCGTGGTGTGTCGGATCAGTGTTATCAAACGTGGTTGATTTCTGGACCTCTTGAAAAGTTGAATCTGAAACCTCAAGCCACTCCTGAAATTGCGAAGAAAACAAGTGCAGTGCAGCTGCGGTTCTTTTGAGCCATAAAAGGGCCTGAGATTCATGGGTTATTCCTCCATGATTGAGTGAAACTGTCACAGAATGCTATTCGATTTGTGCGTGTCATCCTTGTGCAGAATCACCTTGAAATCACATGCAAGTACAGACATGAGCATCACTGTAAATTTCTCGCACTCCTCCTCAGCGTTTTGAGCTGAAGCTCAAAATGCTGCTTTCCAGTGCTCATGCCCTTTGGTTCCACTGTTCCTTTTTGGAATTGTAGACTTTTGCAGTTGCTTCCATTTGGAATGCAAAAAAAAACTCTTCGGGTTTCGGCATTGCCCGGTATGCCCATGTAGCTTAAACCATTGGCTGACCTGGCTGTCAGCAAATCATCGAAGCACCATTGTAAATTGAAACTTCACACATAGGAATTGAGGTTTTCTGCGAACTCCCTGTAGAGCTCTGAAACCATTCTGTCACCTCGGTTGTTTGCGCGTCTGCGCAATCTCTGGAATGTCGATTGTACCCTTTGTGCCAGATCCATTGTAAGAGTTGTGCTGGCACCTGCTGATTCCAGAACTGCTTGAATCGTCACATTGATCTCACCTGCGTCTTCCCACATCTCATTGGCCAATGCTGTGTTCAATTGGCCTTTCAAATGGTGGACCAATCTCGTTAGATGGCCCTCTCTTGCATCTGGATTTGCATCCCCCATGTCATCATCTGTTGTAGGGGATTCTTCTTCTCCACCTTCACCTTCAACCATTGGGGTATCCCTCAAAGTTGTTGTGGGATCTGCAGTAGCTGGATCTGTTGTAGAGCTCGAAGCTGTTGGTCGAGTCAAACCTGAGCTTGTTGCAGCATGGGACTGTGACACTGGAGGGTCGGTCACATCTGGCTCACGCTGCCGCATTCGAAAAAGAACACCGTTGGCACGTTCCTGTGTGAACATGCTATCTCTCTGTTGTCGATCCATGTTGGTGTAGCGAACGAATCCGCCATAGTTCACCAAGCCATCTCGAACACAATCGATGTACTCTTCCAGCATGTTGACTTCTCCATCTGTTCGCTCTACAAAGGCGTTGAATTGCCTTACCAGCTGATCATGATTTGTCCCTTCTGTGTTGATCAATTCTCTGTTTTCCCACATGTAGGCGTCACCCTGTGCAAGCTGTAGCTCGTTGTTGGTGAATCTCTTGTCGATTTTTCTCCAGAACCAAAACGCTGTAAAAGCAAAACCAATCCACAGCATGAAAAGTAAGATCACAAAGATCCAAATCCAAGCTGTTTCAGCACCATTGTTTCCATCATACAAAGCACACTGCTGCTCCTCCTGAAGCGTAGCGCTTGTGCCAGTTGGCCCAAGGCCCAACACTAAACTCACACGCAGAATTGCTTTGGCCAACTTTGAGGTGCTCTTTGCTGTTTCATACTGGTTTTGGATTTCTGCGAACTCATCTTCACCCACAATCTCGCCTGTCTCCACATAGATCATGCCTGCTTCTGACATCAAACCGAAAAGTCTCTTCTTCGACAAGGCTTTGGTGCCTATGTCGCTCACATTCAGGCTTGTTGGCACCTGAATGAGTTCCACTTCTTTGTCTTTCACCTTGCTTTGAACCCAAAGTATCTTTCCAGAAAGATGTCGTATTTTCCCACAGCCTTGCCTCGATACAAGCTGTCGGGCGCTTGAGCTATCAGTGTAGTGCACCTGGAGAATCTGCACGTTCAGCATGAACTCCAAAACTCTTCGAATGCAGATGGCGTCGCACATACCACTGACAATGCTGTGCAATTCACTTTCACAGGAGCTAAGGGCGATGACTCGTTGAGTCCTTGCTGCACCAAAAACGTAGGATCCATTGAGAAAATGAATACTACAAGAAGTTGACTTCCGGTGGCCTTTATTGGAGGCCCAATCAGCATCAGAGTATGTTTCCAGGATCCAAAATTTGTCAACGCAAGACTTCCACTTGCCTTGTCCTGCAACTGGAGCAATTAGACTGATTCCCAGCTCGCCTGTTGTACGAAGATATCCAACCATCTTGCGTAAGTGCTGAAGCGTATTCAGTGTTGGCTTTGCCATCCGACTTGCAAGTTCCTTGATAGTGAAAACAAGGTCGGGGCGGTCTCGTCCCAAGTAGGCAACTTCCAACCACTGAGCGATACCAACCAGCATCTGTTTGAGAAAGGGGCTGCGAGACATCTTCCAGTTGGATACTTGAGTCACATGGTATGGTTTGATTTTTCACCTTCCCAAAGTGGGTTTCGAACGTTTCCACAATGCTTTTGACATCAGTTCCTGGCACCACCATGATTCCTGTTGTTGTTGCAACAAACTTCTTCTTCAAAAACGTAATTGAGCTTCCAACCTCACCCAACGCGGACCAACTCAGTGTGAATTGTTCCTGGCAGCATGGTAAAAACTTCTTGTGGAAAAAGTCTGAGCTGCCACAATAAAGCACATCGTCCACGTGGATCAAAAGAGTTGCTTCTGGAACCCTTGCTACACACGGTTGCTCAATGCAAAATTCAAACTGTAGTTTGTCGCACAAAAAATCTCTGAAATGCCAGCACCATGATCTTGCTCCTTGTCTCTGTCCAGGCAAGTTGCGGCAAATAACATATTTTTGACCTTGCAGCTCAACTTCGATTGGATTGTCCTGTGGGACTTGTAAGAAAGCGTCTTTGATGTCGAGGGCTGCCAAGAGGGGTTGATACTGGTTTCCACCCTCTTTGGCCTCTTGCTGAAGCTGTAGGAATCGCAGTGGCAACAGGCTGGTTGTGTGAGCGCCTGTCGCAGGACTGTAGGTGTCGTCCCGTCTGTCCACTGCAAATTCTCGTGCCACAAAACGGCTTCTGCGCATCCACCGCATTCTTGAATTGCCTCCTTCATCCACATAGAGTTTCACACGCCAATCCCTCACAAACTTTGTTGTCAGTGAGCCGAGCACATTGTCATTGTACTCCTCCTTCCTGACCAGAACTTTCATCTCCAACAGGCGGCTAATTTCCACCTGGTCTGCCAGTTGTTCAATCCAGTCATCAGGAGAACTCGGAGTTACCTTCAAGTCAC